TTAAGTACAGATTGTAAATTTTCAAGAAACAAATAAAAGTAAATGTATAAATCATGAATATGTTTTTAAGCTATTGCTCGTATTTTGAAAAATGTCTGTATCATGATACGTTATAAGTTAATCATGTTAGTTAATAACAAATAATTTAGGGTCATTTATCAATCTTCATTTAAAATAATTTAATCTTTAGTTAACATCAATCTCCAGTTAAATTAGAAATGTGATTTTTTCATCACTCGATTAATATTTTAACTGGACTTTAACCGAAAATTAATTAATCCGAGATATTTGCTCAGTTAAAGAGTTTAACTAGAGAATAGGTACAATATAATCATTTATCAGATTATATCGTTGATGAATCTTTATAATTGGTAATTATTCAAATGTATCTACCTAAGCACTACTTAATTTAAAAAATACCGAACTTATCTTGTTACAGTAGGTACCTACCTACCACTTTTGATATTGTCACATTACAAAAAGTGTACTTTAAATATAAAACTTAGATGGCTTATTTAAGCAGCAGCAGTAGTGACAATAATACTGATGACGAAACTCAATTTCGTTAGRTTAGTTCGTTTTTGGGTTATATAAACCAATACTTCAATAGACTTCGAAGACCATACTTATTGTCAACAAGAATAGACCATTTAAATAAATTGAACGATTAAGACTTTTTGCCAGATTCCTTATAAGTAAAAATACGTTTAAAATTATAATAGAAATGGTTCAACAAGAAGTTACAACTGTTACTTAAAGGTAAAATAAAATGAATAGGTAAATTTACTAAATTTCTCTGAAAATCTCATTTTTTAATTTTAAAACCAAAATTATGGCTAATATATATAAGCTGTGACTTAAATGCACTTAAAAACGTCAAAAAATATGCAAAATAAAAGTGTCATAATCGATTCATTATACATAATTCAAATTATGTACAAAGCTACGTTTCACAATCAGCGAAAAAAAATGCACTTTCCTACAAATTGACAGCCCTTTTTATATATACTTATATATAAATATATATTTATTATTATTATAATAAATAATAAGTAGGGCTGGTATTTTTATACCCTAAAAAAATAAGGATTTCCCAACAGTTTTAAAAAAATCGATTTTTTATATGGTTGTAACTTAAATACTTTAAAATTTCACCAAATGTCTATATTAGCATAGCTAACAGCTGTCGTGTCAATAGAAATGTTTATGACTTTTTCATATTTTAACAACCGAAATGCTGAATAGAAACAAATTTTGATATTTAAAAAATTGTACTTATGTTTTACTACTTATCATACATTTTTTTTTTTTGTATACAACATTTACCATTCATAATAATACCTACCCGAAAGAAAACAAAATAAAAATAATATCTTGTAATAAAATGTCATTAGTGAAATTTTAAATGCACTATAAAAAATATTATAATGAATTTAAAATTATTTTATTTACAATTTTGAATTCTGACAACATTCATAAACAAATAAAATTTGAAACTAAACGATTCAAAAATTATTACGCTATAAACGGTGACTTTTTTATTTATTAGAAATATTACATGATTATTGTTAACAGTTTTACGTGTGTGGAGGTATAAATAAACGTATCGTTTAGTGCATATCGAATTTACAAATGTGTATTCAATTTAATGAAGGTTTTATATTGATAACATAAATATTCGACTATCGGGACGTCGAAATAATAATTTTTCTAATTTTGTTTCTATTCATCCAGTTTTATGGCACGACACACAATATTCTATGTACTTACATAGTCTCAATAATATACACATATTGATCATAAAGAATTTAACAACTTAACAGTATATTCGTTATTAATATTATTTGAATATATTAATAAAAGTTCATACTTGTTTAAACACTGATAATTCAACTAAAGAACAACATTTTGTATATTAGATATACGTAATTTAATACATTTTTCATGTAAAAAATTATTTAACGTGCAGATTAATAAATCTACAATTAATGATTACAATTAATAATGAAATATTAAAGTTAAAATATTTAAAAGCCTAAGTAATAGTGTATGTAAATTTAAACCTTGGAAAAACGAAAATACAATCTTTTATGAGAAGTATCTACTAATGTTTTCCAGAACAAGAGTTTAACGTCGAAGTGAAGGTTATACAAGCTGATTTTAGTAAAGGGCAGATCGTGTTTGATCATATCAGCAAAGAATTAGATGACATTGAAATCGGAATACTAAGTTTGTGACGTTTATTTACATATATTAGAATTAGACTATACACCTATTAATTTCAAAATATGCTAGATGCAACTATAGTTTTTTYATGACGTAGATATTAAAATAATTTTTAATATTCGCTATTTATTTAAATGAATTGTATATCAGTAAACAACGTCGGTATGCAATACTTGTATCCAATGTACATGACCGAAGTACCAGAATCCACCGTATGGGACTTGGTGAACGTTAACGTTGGTGCTACGACACACATGACAAAACTCGTTTTGCCAGGCATGCAAAAGCGGAAACGAGGTGCCATCGTGAACGTGTCGTCCAGTGCAGAATTACAGCCGATGCCCCTGTTGGCYGTTTACGCAGCAACCAAGGTAAGCAGTCAAGATTTTTCTCCTCCAGTTTTATTTTAATACTTAGTACTACCACTGGGTAACTTTACAACACTCTATAATTAATTGAAAAGTCATTCAAGCCTCAAGGATTGT